GTTTATGTAAAGAAGATTTTTAAATAAATCTCAGACACAGTCGTGACGGCACAAAGTTCAACAACGTGACGTCCGCAATCAGATGATCAAACAGGAAGAGGAAGTGACGGGTATGTATATGTGGACAGTGGGTGGGACCTTTGACCCCCCAAATCAAATCCATTCTCTCATGAGTCTAAATGATTACTTGGACCAAATTAGAAGAAATCTTCACGATAATGAGACGAGCAGACAACCTGAAAGCCTCCATGTCTCCACTAGGTGTCGCTATTGCAGAGCAATAAAAACAGTTTCTTTTTTTTATCAGTCGACACTTGTGTGAGGCGTTTAGAATCATTTGCGTTCTCAGTGGGAACCAATGAGGAACTAATGAGACAGGAAGTGATGGTTTGAGTCTTTTCTAGTGATTTGTTGATGTTTGTCCTTTAACTCAGAGCAGCTGGTGTTATCTCATTGGTTGGTGGAATGACCTCACAATCAGGAGTAACTGAGTTGGTTGGTCAGGAGGAGGCGGGGCTCATTGTGTGTGTGTCTGTGTGTGTGTGTGTGTGCGGTCAGAGTGGCCCGTGCAGCCCCTTATACTTGGACAGGACGTTCTTGGTGCGTCCAAGCTCCTTCCTCAGGTCGGCCACCTCCCACCTCAGAGCCGAGTTCTCCTTTTCCAGGAAGCCGGCTCGGATGGCAATCTGGTTCTCTTTGAGCCGCCGAGCGTCCCGGGACCGCTTCGCTGCCAAGTTGTTCTTCCTGCGGCTGGCCCAGTATTTGTCATCCTGCTCGAAGGATGACAAATAATCGTAGTTAATTTTACTTGTTATATTTTCTCTGTGGAAAGAGACTAAATTCCATCGACTGATGAAGATCATGTGATACGATAGAATGCTCCAGAACAACTGTTCAGAATGAACTTTGTGTCTGAGAAGAAAACCCAGTTTAGATTTAAGGTATTTTTTCTTCTTCTTCGTAAAACAGGAAATCATCACCTGTTGCTTAGTGAGCGATTTGTTTGTTGGGTCAGAACCAGCTCCAAATTACCTTCAGGTCCTCTGGCATGAAAACCTTCCGAGCTTTCTTGATCATTGGCTGCAGTTTCAGCTCCTCGGCAGAGAACTTGCGTTTGCGCGGGTCGAACATCTCCTGACCCGGGACGCTGGACAGAACCAGGTCGGCCGGGTCGGGTTCGTACCCAGTAGGAATCTGGATGGAGTCTGGGTCAATGGGGCTCGGAGTGTTTCTGGAGTTTTGGAGGCCTGAAGGAAGGCGGAGACATGTCAGTCAAAAAGTTATCAAACATATCAGAGGTCACATGATTTTTGATATTTTACATTTAGTTGATATAAAACAAATGAGCTGATGCAGCAGTGCTGAGCTGCAGCCACCAGGTGGTGACAGATCTGGGATTCAACTGTCTGTGTGTGTCTGAAAGTTGAGACGCCATCTTTGTTTCTATGTATATGAAACCTTTCGTTCATTAGTCTATAACTTGAATCCAGCATCTGAACCAGCTGTATTTTTCTCACGTTAGCACAACATTAGAGATGATATAATATATAATAACAGAGTTGGTGATCAGGACCAAGGTTTAACTTTATTACTATCATCATTACTATGTGCTAAGCTACAAGCTAAGCTAGCTAAGGTAGTTCAGTCGGAGCTGGTGGTCAGGAGGGCGTAGAGGAACAGAGGTGAAGAAATATTGATTAACAACAGTGAAGAGACCTCAGAGTTCGATCCCCATGTTTTAGATCGAAGTACAGGAAGAGGAAACAGGTTTAGCAGTGACTCCACTAACAAGCATGATGAGGATGTTTGTGCTAATTCACTTTTCTGGTGCACCCTGGGTAATCCTTCTGGTTCCGCCTCCTTATCTGCTGCACAGATTTGGGACCATGTGGGAAACAAATATGTCCGATCATGCCATAGATCACTCTGTCAGGGTCACAGATTCATTCCGGCCTCTGCTGCAGTTTGGTTTTCATTGGACTCAGGACCAGTGGTGAAGGAAATATTTAGATCCTAACCCTTACTAAGATAGAGGTACAAGAATGTGTGTGTGTGTGTGTGTGTGTGTGTGTGTGTGTGTGTGTGTGTGTGTGTGTGTGTGTGTGTGTGTGTGT